AGCAACAGAGTATCCTTTGTTTAATCAATATGTATGCAATCGAGATGTTAGTTAAGGGATAACAAATCTCAGTCCTAATAATAGTCTAGTCGAGAGTCGTAGATTATTACGTCTGAATGGCATTGTCAATCGTCTGAATGGCATTGTCAATCGCTATCAGCTTACACCGACCAAGAAACTGCATGTCTCACCAACTGTCTTATTTGGCTAAACCAATTGGCTGTATAGCATTTGCCCACACGGCATTGCTCTTTCGCCCATTGCTCCTGTCACATGCCTACATAATGTGAATTTGATTATGCAAATGTGAATTTGCTACATTTATCTCATACTCTATTTGGTCAACAAAACTCATAATTCATGGTATCGATCATAGGTCTATTCAATACAAATAAATGTTGTTTAACAGTGAGAGTTGAAGAAAACTATGTTTAGATGTATTTAGGGCTTTACAGGTTACCCTTGTGGGGTTTATCTCAGCCATTTGTTGTTGGAATGGTGAAACAAATATGGCAACACGCACACACTGTATCAATCAGGTTTGACCAATGAGGTGTTGGAACATTTTTCAAAATATTTTATAATAATTTTGAAAAAATATATATATATGTATATAATTGAAACCATGATTTATATTGTGACATCCCGCTTCGTCTAGGAAAGTAGTTTGATGACACTTATATGTGTGGACATCTCTTAATTGTATAGACGCGTTTTGAGAAAAATCGTGAGCACCGAAAGCAAAGTGTGCAAAGTGAACAATATTTATACGGTATGAATAGATGGTGATATATAAACTAACCCATGAAGACCACAACGACGACAAGGACTCTGATCTACACTGTGTATGTGGGCCGTCATATATACCCCTAATTTATTACATACCCAATATTTCTAAGCAAAGCCCTTATTGTGATCTTATTAGAGTGATTATTCATCATGAAGTGATATTAAAGTTACCAAAATAGAGACGGTTATGATAGAAGGAGCCTAAATCTTTAGTGGCAGTTTAAATTATTTCTGCTTAGGGCAGTTTAAATTATTTCTGTAAGCAAACAAATATATAAATCATGTTAACATCTTTAAAATCAAAGGTGGCACAATTCCCAAATTCCACTTACTAAAACAAGAAAATGATAGAAATGTTGACAATAGGATTGAAATTCATGGATTGATAAATATGAATTAGAAGTTTTTGGTCCTGTAACTTCTTTCCAGGGGCTTATGGTTGGGGTTGTGAGCATGAGAAAACGCCCTTTTAACATGGCACAGTTTCATGATTTAGTGGCTAACTTAATGCACGAGCCTCTCGTTATTGCAAAAGTCTTAGAAGGTTCGGAAAGAGGCAGATATACGTGGTCTTACCTCCATTTTTGAGATGACATTGACAAAGAAAATGCAGACCGAGTTTATCAGTGATTTAGAAATAGTCATGGCATTTGGGGAAAAAAATACACGAAGTGGTGCATCAAGATTCTAAGTTCAAACTTTTTACAATGCATAAGTTAAATTTAACTTGATACACAATTGTTTAGACTGCTCACTTTTAATAGCACTTTGAATAAAAACTATGCAATTTTTGGAATACAGGAATGTTTCAAAGACGATTGTATCAAGAATCTCTTTTACCATATGAGAATTGAACAATTGAAAATGATCAAAGGGCATAGAAAAATATCTGTACAGCTCAAAAGTGATTTAAAAGAAACATAAAAACTTTCAAGCTAAATTATCTACACGAATGTAATACCCCTGAAATATTTTAATTTATCTCTAAATTATTGGCGTGAAATGGGTAATTTTGAGGTTATAACAAATTGAGATCTCCCACATAGACTGAGAGTGAGAGCAAAAACGCACGCATGTACAGAGAATGAGAGCAAGAAAACAGTGAAATCTGAAATTAAGGTAGAGTGGAGCTTCGTCCACATGTAACTACTATAAATACAGATATAGCATTCACATGTATAAGCACTATTTGTACATATGCTAAAGGTCATTATCGGTAAAATAATAAAAATTTAATCTCCTAACATGAGCAAATGTGTTTGAACTATCTCATTATTATTGTTGTTTTATATTAGGAGATGCATAATATTAGTAATAGTAAAAAGTTACACTATATTTTTTGTTTAAAGAATGCAAGCTAAAAAATTTATACATTTATTTTAAATTCTTAAAAGATATATTGCTTAAATTTTTATACATGGAAGAATTCCTCTAATTAATTTTTAAAAAGTAAGCATCTAGAGTTGAATAATGTAAGACTAACAAGTAGACTACTGTATTCTTTTAAAAAACACACCTTATAAGTAAAGACAATTCTAACATAAACAATCTTACACTATTTGTATATGTAGAAGACTCTATGCACATTCAACTCTATTTTTCACATTAACAATTTTGGCAATCTCACTTTGTGGATGTGTTAATTTGATATTTTATCACTTATTTACATATTTATTGTTTTAATTATCTTGGTTTATTAAAAAAATTTCTCTCATTGTAATCATGCAGGAAAAATGATTGTTACGCAAACGATGCGTCTAATAACTTAAAATTTGTGCTTCGAAATTAGAATGTAAAAAAAAATTAGTTTAGAAATTAAACTAATTTTATGTTTCTTTTTCCCATGCAACACAACCATGCATCTATTTGCAAATTCAATCTATTTTACTAAAGAAATATATATGTTACTTATTGGGAAAAGGAAAAAAAATATTTTAAATCATTTTCTTTGTATTAGGCTGTTAGAATAACTTTCCACACAGAAAGAGTGTTTAGATTGGATATCACAAGTGGGTATAGTATAGTAAAAATTTCTCCGAGTTTTAGCTTGTACAAAATATTTGTTTTTCCAGCAAGATCAAGACCTGCCATCAAAATATTCTCTGTTTTTCAATTGAAATCGAGATATCACCAAATATATAGTTGCAGCTGTCTCTACAAAATACCAAAGGGTCAAGCAGTTCAGCGATATCAATGATTAATTTTTCAAAGAGAGGTTTGGGATTGAGTTTCGATAATGTATGTGTGAGTTTGTTTTACCATCAAAAAAAAAAAAAAAACCTTATAAAATAGTAAATTAATTGTGGTGTATTGGAGGATTTAAAAAATTGTTTAGAGAATATTATGAGGAGTTAATAAATTATGTAGAATTCCTAGATATTTTAAGAGGGTGGTTTGAAAACTAAATTCTAAGTATTGATCATATTGTATCTTATTTAAGGAAGGATTTTAAAAGTTGTATAGAGAGTATTCTAAAGAATTAGCAAATTACTTACAATTCCTAGATATTTTAAGAGGGTGGTTTGAACACTAAATTCTAACCGTTGATCCTATTGCATCAGATCGGAAGGATCCTTATAAATAAGACAGATTTCATTGGTACCATTTAATCCGTTTTCGTACCAATCCCTCTAAATAAAAGAATATATATAAAATGCAACTATTTTACTAATGAGATACACAAATTATAAATTAGATTATAAGTAAAACTCTAAACAAAGACTCTGGTGATCCGTGAGGACAGTGAGATTAAAACTATGCAGTTTTAGCAAATGAAAGTGGACGGGCTTTTTCTGAGATGAAATTGCCAAGTTTCACAAGAATCGCCAGCGTCGTCGAGTAGAGTAATACCAATCTGTGTAATCTTCACTGTATAGCCGTCGTTCCGGAGCATTTCTTGGAGCACGTAATATAAAACCAGTAAATTCTGTATCGACCGCCACGAACAAATGTGTATGAATCATCATCTCGATCTTTGCCATCTCAAATTCAAAGTTGTCGTACCAAACTTCTACAATACTCAATTCCATACCGAAAGATTTATTTTTTGGATCACCAAACTGCTAACAGTAGAATGCTTTCTTGTAATAACGACATTTAAGTACTTTTATTCACTAACTCCACGTTTATATCAAATAACTCCAACCACAAAGAAAAACACATTGTTATTTATTTTATATTTCTCTTCCCAACATATACAACCATGTATCGATTTTGAAATTCAATAAAGAAAGAAGAAATATGTTAAAACTGGCATGAATCTATACAATTGTTGTACAAATTGTATTGGAGTGATCCAAACCCACAATATTGATTATTGAGCGACTATATAGTGCAATATAGTTGTTTTTTCCAGCAAGATTAATGCCCACCATCAAAATCCTCATTTCTTTCCCAATTTAAATCTAGATATCACTAAATTTATCATTGCAACTAACCCTACCAAATAAATAAATAAACAAATAAGATAAGATGAATTCTGGGGTGAGATATAATGGTATAACCTCTTCTCCTCAAAAGAAGTGGAAAAAAACTTAATTGTGCCAGTTTTTCTATGTAAGCCTGTTAAATTGCATGGAAAATTGCAAAAAGAGGCGGAGACTCCAAAGGACACAGATTTGGAGGGGCTTCAGATAGATGTATTGGCTACCTGCTTGGTATTGAATCAATCAATGGGAATAAGATTCTTATAGGTGTTGGAGAAGAATAAAGGGCACTTGTTTTGCTTCACTTTCAGTGGTGGCTGGTGAGTTACTGACACTTTCACTTGTTTTTTTTTTTTTTATTTTTTTTTTTAATGTATTTTCGTTGGAATTGCACAAATGTGGATGGCTCAGATTGATCTTACAACTTGGAATAGAGAAAAAGAAAATTTGTGGCCAGACTAGTTTTGGAAAAGGTTCTGTGAAGTCATGTTATTGCATCCTGAATACAGTGCATGAAGGAGTAGCAACAGAGTATCCTGTTTAATCAATATGTATGCAATCGAGATGTTAGTTTAAGGGATAACAAATCTCAGTCCTAATAATAGTCTAGTCAAGAGTCATAGGCTATTACGTCCGAATAGCATTGTCAATCGCTATCAGCTTAGACCGACCAAGAAACGGCAGGTCTCATGAAGCCCTAGAATTCACAATGAGTGATTGCTTAAGCCCTCAATCCAAGCAGATAATGGATGATGCAACTTCAAAGCTTAAATGGCAAACCAAGGGTTGAAAGCACCAAAAAAATGTACAACCAATTATCATAATCTTCAATGTGTTTGGATTTCATGCCAATGACCTTCAATAGGCATTTTAGTTTAACACAGCTTTTCACACCTCTCTAGCTATAAGGGCAGAGAATGAAAAATATATTACCAATCACTGTAAATAAAAGAAGATTAATATAGGTAACTTGTAACCATTTTACAAGTGCCATCATATAAATCATAAATCAGCTTACAATAATATATGGCTGCTATATAACATTGTCAAACGTAAATATATGAATAGAGAGGCTCAATCATTATAGGAGAACAGCAGTAAAGAAGAAAAGGGGGAAACATAATAAGTTCATCAATCCAGTTCCTATAATCCAAGTTACTGGGCGGTGTGTATGATTGTATTGAAGTATACAGTACGGCTTTAAAATTGTATAGATATGCTGGTGCCCTAATAGAGCAACTCCATAAACTCCCTTGAACCTCTCACAACACGAAAACAAACTGAAAGTAGCCTTGAAGTGAAGAGATATCGTATCATCATACCTCGTAGAGGACATCAAAAAAGCAGGATGCACGCTAAACCTTTTTGGCTTATGACTATATCCCATGACGCTGCAACAACATGGCCAAACTGGTTTTGACACATCAACTAGGAACGCAGATAAACGGCAAGATGGTGACACAAAATCATTCTATTAACCAGATAGAATCACACAACCATGGCTCAAAATTTGGAGATGATCAGCAAGTCATAAGGGGCGATCCATTGCAGTGGACATCAGAAGCATCAGAAATCCTTTTCCTTGGAGATAATATAGTGCTGGCAACAGCATCAACATCAACATTGATAATATTTTTCCTCTTCTGAGTATCTGTCTTTGGTCTGTCTTCTAGCACCTCAGAAACAGGACTCAATGGCTCTGCTGTCTTCCTCTGCTGGGATATCATTGCTTGAGCTTCTGCCACTGCTGATGCATTATCATCCGTAGCATACAATATCCTCTTTATTGCTTCAACAACCTGTAAAGGAAATAGAGGATATTAACCAACACCTTGTAACCGATAGTTGTTTACATACATCACTAAATTTAAACTTCTAATTCTTCAATCTAAATAACATAGAAAGAGCACCGGTAGACTTTCAATTTCGGGATATTGGCACAAGATCTCAACATCCCTCAACTTAGCAAAGTAGAAGTCCCTCTCTTTCTCTAGACTATCCACTGACAGCTTCAATTCTGTGATCTGCATCAAGAGGAGTGTTAAAAGTCTGATCAATGTTAAACCAGATATCATTGCTGCACTGACTTAGTACCTGTTGTTCATATTCAGCCCCTCCACTAGAAGGTTTAGAGGCCTTAGCAGACTGATTTGTAGTGTTTACAGAAGATGCATCATTCTTACGAGCATTGTGAGAGGACTGAGTTTTGTGGACAGCTGTTGAAGACTTGGTTGAAGATTGTGATGATGCAGATTTCCTGGCCACGTCTTTTCCTCCTTTGCAAGCCTCTCTTCTTTCCAAAGGATTGTAACTAACATTGGCAGCAATGAGGCATGAAATTAGAACACAACAATTGCATTCCCAAAACTAGAACTAAATATTTGAAGATATCAACCAATTGATATAATACATCCAAGGCAATGACCTCAAAGAGAACAACGGTCATCTGAACAAACATTAGATGCTTCTAAGACAAAGCATTTAAGAGTAATCTGCACCATGATATGTTTCAACTCAAAAATACAGTTGTATATACACATCATTTATATCCTGAAAATGCCTGACTTTAAAAACCGAAGAAAATTTCAATTTCTTTTTTCCTGATTAATCACAAACATTTATAATGCACAAAAGAAAAAGGTCCAAATCTGAAATTTCACAAGGTATTTTAGAACAGCATACTATTGACTTGGGTTGAAAACAACAAAGTTGATTGTAATAATTGCAATCAAACAATAATTACCAAGAGCCAATAACAATGCAAAATTCAACCATTTATTTGTTCCGCCTAGTTTAGTAAAGACAAATATTCCAAACACAGAAATGGAAATGAGTACTAAAATAACAAATCTGCAGTAATCTATGACTACTACTCTATCCATTGCAACAAACCTAAAACAATACTAAACTCCCAATTGCTCTAATGTGCATAATTCTTCAGTCATCCAAAATTTATCACTAATTCCAACCACACTGAAATTCTGAAACAGACAATAATAACACCCTACTTATTCGAATAACAGCCGAGATGGTGGCGGTTATTTGAGTATTCTTTTTCTACACATTATAATGGAATCTCTTCTCATCCGTGAATGTGGATTAAGTTGTGCCAAACCACATTAAATCTTACATTTGTGTTTGATTTCTCATTATTTCTGGTTAAATCTCTGTGTTTACATTTTTGTGTCCCAACACTGACAACATAACCAGAATTGGAAAATTACCTGTGGAGAGCACCTCCGCTAACAGAATCGTAGTATCGCTTCATCCATTGCATGAACTCCAGATTATCTAGGGCCCTTCCTTTCACTAGCTTGTTCACCTCTATATGCTATATTCCACAATAATCAAAGTTACGAACAAACAAACAAATAAATAAACCCCATCTATTGTATGGGAAAATCAATACCCAGAAAATTCACTAGAAAAATGGAATGTCAAGATAGCTCCGCTTATCACAACCAAAAATCTTAAGTGTCAAAAGCATGATTTTCCATCAAAATAACCAAAATGAAATGAATAAACACATAAATCATTTGATTGGAAAAGAAATCATTATGAAGAATTTTTCTGGAAAATGAAATGTCAAGACAGCTTCTATCATAATAAAATTTTTACCTTTATGTGTCTATCTTTGTCAAGAACATGACTTTCCATCAGAATAACCAAAATTAAATGAATAAATATGTAAATAAACCCATTTGATTTGAAAGAAACTCACTATGAAGAAATTTTCCAGAAAATAAAATGTCAAGACAGCATCAATCACAATAAAAACCTTACCCTAATGTGTGAAAAACATGACTTTCCATTAAATCAAACGAAGCTGAAACAAAACCCTAAAACCATATATATATATAAGAAAACAACACCTTGGTGATCTTGAGTTTATTGAAAACGTCTTGGAGAACCTTGTAGTTCTGTATCATTTCATACTCGTTCTTGGCCTCAAAGTTGACTTTATGCATTGATACAATTCCAGGATGAATCGCATCCATCAGCTGGCAGTGTACGGCACCAGAACATGCCTGCAAACAATTAGATCCAACGGTTCATCAAAATTCGACTAGAAAAGGAAGAAAAGAGTGAAAAAGTTAAAAATTAGGGTTTGAAATTGAAGTGAAAACCTCTTCGACTTTGGAGAGATTGAGTTGGAGGGTTGAGTTGATCCATGCCAATATCTCTGATCTGCCAACGAAGTAAGCTGAGTCCATCATTCCAATGTTTGTCGCCATATCTCTCGCGCTCTGTGATAACTCCGCCGGGCGTCTAGAGAGAGAAAGTGAGTTTTAGAGAGAGAAAGAGTGTTCGAAATGAGAGTTGAGCGGGATTCTCTCTTTTTTTAAAACTATCACGAAAAGGGCCAAACATGTGGGCAGCCCAAATTTTGACTTGGGTTTGCAAATTAGGCCTTTATTAGCTTTAAGCAAACCCATTGTAATTTGTAATATTTTTAAGTATTTTTTTTTTTTTTGTTCAATAATATTCTTGGGAGGTTGATTCTAGTAAATTTCAAGATGAGAATTATTGAAGATGAAAATTAGTATTTGTACAGTAAATAATATAGCCATTTTAAAATAGCCATTTATTACCGTTTTAAAAGAGCCGTTGAAGCTGCTATCTATTTTTTACTTTCTATTTATAAATTCTTTGTGAATCCGTGTAAGACAGAACAGCCAATAAACAAAGGAAAGAAAATAATATATATGCTCCAAACCATTCTCTATTGGTAGAGAAGCCCATAGATAAGTCTTTGTGGGGGGCCATAATAAGGGCACTCAATTTTGAATGCATACCGCCCCCATGTCTCTCTACTTTTCACAAATCTTCTCTAAAATTTGATGCGCCCCAGATGCTCTAACTCATAATCATTTGTGTAGAAATTGAATTGATCCAAAAAAATAATAATAATAATACTATTACAGAGATAGCGGTTATGAAATACCCTTGACCAATGAAAAATCACTTCTTCTTTTTTTTTTATTGTAGAAAATAGTAAACTTGTATTGGTCGGGTACTAAAGATACTCGCATATTGATCCAAGGTTTTGAATTTGTGGATAGTCATGCTGCTGAAGAATTTTATATGAATAAATAGAAATAATAATGTGTAGGGAAAGAAACAAAAAGATTTTATTTATTTTTTTTTTTTTGCGACATACCATTGGTTAGAGAACAAATAATGCTGGAAATTAAAAGTGAAGTGCGAAAGGAACCAAAAGAAAAGAAAAAGGATCTACTTGATTCAACATTTCCACAAAAAAAAATTATTGTACAGAAAATATTTACATTTTTTAAAATGTTTACTAATGTTCTAGAAGATAATCTTTTATAATTCTCTGAAATACTTTTTTGTTTATTTTTAGAATTCTTAAAATTATTTTCAATAAATTGAATTAAGTAGACGGTGGGTTTTTCTCCATGCCTTTAGAGGGGGAAAAAAACACAATTTGAAGAATGAAAAGAAAATTTTGAAGAAGATTCTTTTATAGAAACAAGAAGTCCCAATTGAATTGGTTCAAATCAATCATTTTCCTTTACCAATTTTTGTGATATTCCCGGATTCCCGAATGCAGGTTTGCCAGGCCCACACCCAAATACTCGAGGATATTAAAACAAATTGATAATAAACGAACACAGAGTACAAAAGAATAAAGAAGAATAAATAAAATGCTGACAAGAAACTAAAATGATAATCTAATAATAAACCTCATAATATATTTCCATTAATTAATAAACTCTTCTGATACAACTGATCCTCCAAAATACAATTCGGGAATCCATACTGTGTGGACCCCTAGAAAATCCAAACTAAACAAATGGCAACAATAACTGTCTAAATCAGGAAACTGAATCATAAAGGAACTCCTATGTAGCATCGGAAGAATGAAGTAGACTGATCCCCGCTCAGCACGAACAACCTCTACTCCTGACGAACACCTGAAAAATAATGGTGGGTCAGGCACACAACAAGTTCTACTTTACTACAGTCCAAACAGAGATCCGATACACGTATACATCCTAGTCAATCCAACAATAACTAGTAGTCCGTATATATATATACACACACACTAAAGGAACCTCACTAGACTATAGGGTTGTCTCAACCTGAATAGTAGGCAACATGCAAAACGCACATATAGTGGGCATGAGTACCTAGACCTACCAGGGTACACAACTACACTATATCTAGCTACACATCCCTGGCAATATACGCACCATAACCACTGATCCTGAGACTCAAGCTCATATCATGGCACCATACTTATATATATATAATCTAGTAACCATCCTATCCAGTATAAATTAATTCTCCACAAGTCATTCAACTTGTTCAGCTGACCTGACTTGAATATAAGTAGGACTTAACATTTTAGTTAATCCATTCCCTTATATAATAAATTAATCCTCTATAAGTCATTCAACTTATTCAGCTGACCTGACTTGAATATAAGTAGGACTTAACATTTTAGTTAATCCATTCCCTTATATAATAAATTAATCCTCCATAAGTCATTCAACTTGTTCAGCTGACCTGACTTGAATATAAATAGGATTTAACATTTTAGTTAATCCATTCCCTTATATAAAATAGGTAGGACTTAACTGATAAGTTAATCCGTCCCTAGAATGCCATCGTCCCATACCGGTGCATTAAATCACACAATCCAACAATTGATGTAGTAATTAAAGAAATACATCAAACATTCCAGAAATAACTATGATAATATGATATCAAGTTATCACATAATATGAATGACTTATTATTTATTTAAACTTCCTATATCATATGTCCTACACAAACTGAATCTTATATATGATAATATTTTATTATATCGTCAAATAAGCATTCTCCATATCCAATTCATCCTACACATTTAATTTCAATTGCTAAAGCATTTTAAAAGATTAAATCCATTCGTTTGTTTAAACATTCAAATAGCAAGCATCATTATGATTGAGTGTATTTAAATTTATTTAAACCCAAACCTAGTCCCTATTTAATGTTCAGGAATCCTAGGCATGTTTCTACGTTCCATCATTTCTCAGATATGAAAAATACATAATTCAAACATGTAAGAATTCACACCAGAAATCAAATCAAAATGATGCATTTTTTAATTCATAACACAAGAACAGATATGAACTAATTTCATAAAAACCTATACTTTAATCCAATTAAACATGTATAATTATTTAATTTTATGTGTTTAATAAATCCTGAAATTTCCTAGGCATGTACAGAAACACGAATCAAAGGGAAAGAGATAGAAGAAGAACTTGCCTTAAACTTTCAAATCGAAAGTTAAACTTCTTCTTCCTTGATCTTCTCTCTACAGGGTTTTTTTCCTCTTTCCTTCATTTTCCTCCTTCCCTTTCTAACTCTCTCTCTCTCTAGAATATATCACGTGAATATTTCTAACCCCCTTTTATAACCTATAGCTATATATTTATAGGGTAAATAAAATAACCCTAACCCTTTTCCCAATTCAAGTCAACTTAAAAAAAATATATATATTAAAATATTAAAAAGGTAAGTAAAATATGTTACGTATATAATTTATGTATATCTTTATTAAATAAATAAATTATACACATCCCATTATTTTTTAATGGATTATCCAATAATACTTAAGTTACCATAATATTATAAAGTAACTTAAAACATAACACGTATCAAATCTATGTATATTTTTATTATTTAAATATAAAACATATACATAAGATTAAATATTACTACCCAAGTTACCATAAAAGTAATTAATAAATTACTTTCCCTTTTATATATATTAAAAAGGTAAATAAAATATGTTACGTATATAATTTATATATATGTTTATTAAATAAATAAATTATACACATTCCATTATTTATTAATGGATTATCCAATAATACTTAAGTTACCATAATATTATAAAGTAACTTAAAACATAACACGTATCAAATCTATGTATATTTTTATTATTTAAATATAAAACATATACATCAGATTAAATATTATTACCCAAGTTACCATAAAAGTAATTAATAAATTACTTTCATTTTTATATATGTATATAATATATATCTATATATATACATACACAACTATCCTTGGGTAATAATCCACACACATCCAACCTCCTATCCAAGTAGTCCATGGGACCCAATTGGTTAGCCCATTACTACTAACCATAACCATAAAAGAAAAATAAAATAAAATAATAAAATAAAAGAAAATATTTAATTTACAATTAATCAAAACACCGTTTAAGCACATAATCTAATTAAATAATTAACACATAGACAAATACAAATAATACATAGACACGTAATCAAATAATCAAAAAATACCTAATTCAATTAAACACATAAGTAATTAGTTAAATAATCAATTAAATAATTAACAATACAATTAAAACAAATAAATAAATACCGAGACTATCCTTTTAAAATTAGGGGTATTACATTCTTCCCCCCTAACAAAAGGAATTCCGTCCTCGGAATTCGCCTTTACTTTTTTCCATTATGCTTAGAAACTGTGAGCGAAATACATTCTCATATCCCCAAGTAGACGCAACCTCACTATAAGGGCTCCACTTAACTCCATTATACCAAGTGGTATACAGGGTTCCTATATTTTAAGAAACACAATAATCATACGATGCGTAGGTTGTATCAATGTAATCTTCCCATGTCGACAAGAGAATGATCTACATACCTCTAAGTGCCATAGAATATACACACAAACTCCTATGTACCCAGCGCTAATAATTCGGTAATGCTAATTCAGAGGCGACTGCCTCAATTGCGAAACACAATCTTTTAAAAGTCAATGTAACAAGTAAAATTGACCTTTCTCCAAAAATCGTCGTTCTTCCTACATGGAAAACAGAACGAGCAAACTACTCCCTGATAGAAAAACTCTAGTATACGAGTTTAATTATTTACAACATCCCACTGTCGCCTCCCAACCTCGCGCAGTTCAATACAAAAGGAAGTATCTCTTTCCGGCATATTTTTAAATGAAGTCGGGGTTTGATTGTACAACCCTTACTTCCATTTCCAACCAACAAATGAGAGGTATGCATTGTGAAAGATACAAAACCTCCAAAGTTATCACTCTAACCTTCTTGTGCCAACAATATCACAAACAAAATTCCGACAAGTGAAGTAAACACTTCCAACTGTCTATGAAAATTTAGGATATACGCCTCAAACATATCCTGTATGGTCTAATTTAATCTCTTGATTAATTCCTCCGTCTATAGATATGTAGTAGAGCTGCTGCTCCAAAATCTTCATAAAGCTTCTTCGAAATAGCACTTTGCATCCACTAATATGGACATTCACATGTTATAACACCACTATCACTGAACTATAGAACTACTATGAAGTTCTAAAATAAGCATCACTCAAATTTATGTTCTCAAGCGATCTTTCTCAATCCACCACTTGGATTCCATATGAAAAATTAAAATTCCAAATCAATGTCAATCCTTCCCACTGACCGTCACTCCTGTTTAGTTCAACTTCCATATTTGTTATAGGAAGTAGCTAAAGATTCCTATGATATCTGATGATCAACTTTCCACCTTTGTAGCAGGTTTTACACTTAGGGCAATTATATATACGTCCCTATCCGTACCTGTTCACCAAAACTGACATTTCTTC